GATAATAGATGAGCGCCAGCCAATGAGATTGTGGATTGTGCATTAGCTCCGCCCACTACTGGAGAAACCGGGCATATCTTATGGTTGTTGTTAAAAAAGCTGAAGAATTCCAAGTGAACTTTGACAGGAAAATACAACAAAGAATATGGTTTACATGTACAGTAGCGCGTCGATTCAGCGCGGTGTGTAAGACTCTCGCTCTTTCTTTGCGTGTGTGTGAGAAACGGTGCTCTCAGCAAAGTTTATTAGCCAACGGCGAATGTTAGACATGAATTAGTCGCCCAGAGTAAAGATTTAGTCGCATATTGCGAGTGATTTATTCACAGTGTAGAGGGTTGCACAGTCTGTAAACTTCTATAGTGGTGAATCCAAACGACAAAAAACAAAAAAAATAATTCCCATTTGATCTAATAGCAAAAGAAAATCCATGATTGTGTTTCTTTGACCTTAAAAAAAGAGGAAAAAATATGAAGATTGATTATGTTGGTCAGAAGACAGAAAGATTGCCGTCAACGCAGCAGCATTAACCGCCAAGATAATAAAACTTAAAATAAAGCATAGTCTTATAAAATGTACATTAAATAACATTTTGATTTAAAAATTAAAACATAGAAAACTTTGCTAGATTCACAATGGTAATAACTCCAACCAAATAACTAATATAATAACTATATTAGGTTGGTTTGGTAATAACTCCAAACCAACCTATCATAGTTTGTGAAGAGTTTATTCCTGTGATAAGCTCAGGGGGAAAAAATTAAGATGACAGATCAATTATAATAAACATACTGCAAAAAAATCAATGAGTAAAAATGCAAGGGGTGTAATTCTGCATCGACAGAGATTGAAACATCAATCAAATACATAAAATCAATATATACTTTTACGTTTTAACCCTTCTTTTATATATATATTATTTGAAAATAAATAGTGTACTTTTTTTAGTTGTGGATGCCCCAATTTAGACACAGGATTTGCAATTTTCAGAGAATTGAATTACTATATATATGTTTTATTTTGTTTGCATTTATGAGTTGTAATTGATGTAACTGATGTAATGTACAGGTGCATCTCAATAAATTAGAATGTCGTGGAAAAGTTCATTTATTTCAGTAATTCAACTCAAATTGTGAAACTCGTGTATTAAATAAATTCAATGCACACCGACTGAAGTAGTTTAAGTCTTTGGTTCTTTTAATTGTGATGATTTTGGCTCACATTTAACAAAAACCAATAAAATAAAACCAATAAAAAAAACATTTTTAGTGAAATGTTGGCCTTCTGGAAAGTATGTTCATTAACTGTACATGTACTCAATACTTGGTAGGGGATCCTTTTGCTTTAATTACTGCCTCAACTCGGCATGGCATGGAGGTGATCAGTTTGTGGCACTGCTGAGGTGGTATGGAAGCCCAGGTTTCTTTGACAGTGGCCTTCAGCTCATCTGCATATTTTGGTCTCTTGTTTCTCATTTTCCTCTTGACAATACCCCATAGATTCTCTATGGGGTTCAGGTCTGGTGAGTTTGCTGGCCAGTCAAGCACACCAACACCATGGTAATTTAACCAACTTTTGGTGCTTTTGACAGTGTGGGCAGGTGCCAAATCCTGCTGGAAAATGAAATCAGCATCTTCAAAAAGCTGGTCAGCAGAAGGAAGCATGAAGTGCTCCAAAATTTATTGGTAAACGGGTGCAGTGACGTTGGTTTTCAAAAAACACAATGGACCAACACCAGCAGATGACATTGCACCCCAAATCATCACAGACTGTGGAAACTTAACACTGGACTTCAAGCAACGTGGGCTATGAGCTTCTCCACCCTTCCTCCAGACTCTAAGACCTTGGTTTCCAAATGAAATACAAAACTTGCTCTCATCTGAAAAAAGGACTTTGGACCACTGGGCAACAGTCCAGTTCTTCTTCTCCTTAGCCCAGGTAAGACGCCTCTGACGTTGTCTGTGGTTCAGGAGTGGCTTAACAAGAGGAATACGACAACGACATTCTAATTTATTGAGATGCACCTGTAACTGATTGTGTAAAACAGACATCATGATTGATATTTATCGATCACAGGCCACTGAATCAAATCGAATCGAAATCGTATCGCAGTATGTTTTGAGGTATCAGCAAATATCTTCAGTGAACCAAAGTCAGATCGTATTGTGATCAAATGTCTGATTTATACCCCTAATAAATATGTGTTGGATGCTGCCTTATAAGGGTGCTGTCTGTGCAGTTTTGGCACAGAGCCGGTCGACACACGTGGACTAATCTTCTAACGCAGTTTCAAGCAGAAGACCAAACACACGTGTCCTGGCACGCAAGGGTTTTGAAGCGGCTCCAAAAGCTCTCGTCTATTTAAAGCAGAAGCCTGAGGCTTCACTGTACATTATTTTAATTAATTTAACTGCTCTGTGTGATTAAAGAGATGGAGCTGATATTTCACACACCGCAGAACGAACATGACGAGTGTCAGAAAACAAAACATCCACAATCATTTCACTTCCGTCATGTGACGCAACATTTACGACTGAAACGGAACGTTCAGTGAGGAAGAACACAAGAACAGCAGCAGGACTCGATTCTCTCACCGGTTAACCAGCTTTAAAGACAGAAAGGCCGCGGTACAATCACTCAATAGCTGACTGTTGGTTAATGTTAACATTAACCAGCAGAAAAGGGAAGCTATTATTTTAAGATGTAAGATTATGAAGACAAACATTTATTTCTATATAAATAAAAAATATTTAAATAGTATTTAAATAAAATGTAAAACAGAATATTAAAATGTTGTATAATTAAATACAAAATAGAATATAATGTAAAAATAATTTTAGAATATAAAATACATATTTTTCTAAATAAAGCATAACATTCTTATAAAGACAAATATTTGTTCTTAAACTAATATTTTCTTAAATTAAGATATTTTTTAAATAAAATATAAAAAATATTTTTTTATAAATAAAAATAGATTTTAATACATAAACATATTATATAAATACATTTAATACTTTTTAGAAATAAAATATTTTTAACAATGTTTATAAATAAAAAAAATAATTTTATAAATAAAAAGATTTTCATTTCATTTTTATATTTATTTTTTAAATATTTATTTAATGAACTTTTTAGAAATAAAAAAAAATATTTATAAATAAAAATAACTATAAATATTACATAAAAATATTTTAGAAATAAAAAAGATTTTCATTTCATTTTTATATTTATTTTATAAATATTTATCTATTATTATAAATAAAAATCGAGTTAATTTTGATGCCATGTTGACGTTAAAACTCAAAGGTAAAGCAAGCAAGCAGCTCTTACTTTTTCACGTTGGCCTCTCCGTTGGGAATCCTCCTCAGTTTCTTCTTCTTCAGGATCTTAACAGCTCTGCGACACAGAGTCTCCGAGTCCAGCATCTCCTTGACCTTCCCGTAGGACCCTTCCCCGAGCAGATCCCCCATCAGGTACTTCTCGATCAGCTTGGCGCGCTTGCGTCGGGGCTGGTAGATCACCTCGGTGGAGTCGATGCGGTGGATGAAGGTGTCCATGAGCTCGTTGTCCGTCAGGTAGTCCAGATGCTGGAGCTCTCCACCTAAACTCATCTTCCCGGGGCTCTCGCTCTCCCTCCGCCGATCCCGCGCTCGTTTACTGATTGCTCGACAGGAATATTTGTTTTCCGAAGGAGCAGTTGAGATCAGGAAGATCAGTCAACCGATAAACACCAGTTAAACCGCAGCAGAAGCATCGCGAACAGATCCGAACAATAACCTGAAACAAACCGCGTCTCCACAAGTCTGTGAGAATCCGCCGGTGTGGTTTCGTTTCAATCGCGAGGCTTTATTAGCCGACGATCACTGGAGCTCTGCACATTTCTGCAGAAACACACAAAACCAGAACTTCAGTCGCAGAAGAGCAGGAAACCTTGCATCTAGGGATGTAACGGTATGAAAATTTCATATCACGGTTATAGTGACCAAAGTTATCACGATTATCAATATTATCACGGTTTTGTTAAAATTAGATGAACATGTTCAAAAAGAACTGATACACACACTGAAAACATTTCAATAAGTGTTATATTTGAAAATCAACAAACAACAAATACAATTAGCAGCTATATGCACTTTTTTAGCATAAAAATTAAATTAACATTAACATGAAGCTCTAATAATAATAATAATAATAATAAATCACTTATA